CATGTGGATTCTGTTTTGTTATGCCTAGCTTTCTGGGTGCCTAACCCCGGTCGATTGCAGATAAGGAAAACCTCTAACCTCGGGGGGAAGGGGGTCATTGCTCCCTGTGCCTCTCTGAGGGGGCCAGGTTCTGGCTTGTGGTCCCCCAGTAGGCTGAACTCCTATGATTATGACAAGTCTAATAAATTGCATATTAGCCCGATAACACCAGGGAGTCGAAGGGGCTTCCCACGGAAAATAAAGTAAGAGAGAGTTAAAGATAATAAAAATATTAAACAATATTCCCATACAGACACTACCAACTTTCCCCAGCACTATTAGAGACCCACTACTACTTTAACCAGCACTACTGCAGACAACCATCATCAACCCTACTCAGCAGCATACCAGAACTACTACTGTTCTACCAATCACAACTTTCTCACTTTTCACCAACATTCTCATGCCTAGTATAAATACAGGCACTCTTCACTCTCAAATCACTCGACCTCAGACCAGCAGTAGTAGTACTGTACCTCTCTTGCCTGTACTTCTATTGCAGCAAAGCTCAGCATTTACCTCTACCCCTGGAAGGTTTGCTTCTCAAGCAACCTTCTCAGCCTACAGAGTGACTCTTAACACTGGACTTGTGCTCTTCCTATCACTATCAACAACACCAGTTGGCCAGAAGACCAACTAGCAATAGGTAGAACAAAACTTGCTGACAATTTGAAGCCAAGTATTGCCTGGAAGAGGATTTTTTATTCATGCTGAAAAAGCAGTCTCCCTTCCTCCATTTATGTCCCAGTGGGGACAGTTTGAAAAGATCTGTAATGTATAAGTGTGTGAAGGTCAAACTGGCCTGGCTGGTACTTTGCAATATTCATGTGATAGTGAGGCATTACCAAAAGGAGCAACAATGTTATTCAGTTCAGAACCACGCTAATATTTAAATAATATAATGACAATTGAAGAAAACAGTGGCATAATAGGTAAGCTCCTAAGGTGAATGAAGATCATTTATAACAGCTGTAAGAAGAAAATTCTCTTCATAAGAATGGCTTAATGTATAATACATAGGGATTGGTATTACCCACTACTATATAATTTGTATACATAAATGACTTGCCCAGAGGAACATCTGAGTACAGTACTGTATATGAACATGTTTATTGATGCAAACCAATTGGAGAGATCAGAGTGAAGTAGACTGAAAAAAACCCAGCATTGAATGTAATGAAAAGCCAATTTCTGGATGAGCCCTGGTGGCTCCCTGAAGCTACTATACATGATATAGTGGGAGACTACAAGGTGCTATCAGTCGCAAAGTTCTATTTGATCTACCGGGGGATCACATGCCAGAACCTGGCCCCCTCAGAGGCGCAGGGAGCAGTGGCATGTATGAAAAATGTTATGTAAATTTATTCATGTCTGACACCACCAAGGAAAGGTGCTCATGAAATCAGCAAAACAAAATAGACTACTGCTTGGTTAGAAATGAGACCACAGCCTTAAAACAGCCCAAAAATATCCCCTAACAATGTAATCAAACAATAAAAAATTCATATAACTAGCGCATGTTAGTTTGCGCCAGGACCCTCATTTAGGAGGGGGGGGAGGAGGGAGGCAAACTGGGTCAGCTGGCTGCTCCACCACCAGTTCTTGTGATGATGAAAACCAACCTGACACCATCCAGGGAAAAAGGAGGGTATCAGGAAGCCACCGGGACTCACCCAGACATAGGTGTTCCGTTACATTCAATGCTGGTTTTCTGGGAAGGAACCCATTGTGGCTCCTAGAAGCTAACTACCCTAACTAACTAACATGGAGAGGGAAGAAGAAGGGTACCAACCAGGTAGGAAGCACCGCAGGTATCAAGAAAAAGAATTAAAGATGAGACCATCAGCCGCACCACACTATCCAAGGCCAAACAACGCCGCTGGGGACCATGAAAATCTGCAAGAGACCTTGCTGCCAAGACCCTGTTTGACCTCCAAAACCCCCGCATCCAAAATATCAGCCAAGACAGATTAGCAAAGACTTCTGAAAGAGGAGCATATAGGCAAGAGGGTAGACTGCAGGCTGGCTAGATTTGATGACACTGAGGACAACCTGAGAAACATCTGCTTTGGAACAGGGAATCAGGAAACCAAATCAACCTGTAAGGAGTCCATTAAAACAGGATCAGTGGCATGAAGAAAGTGGCGCAGAGTTGCCACTGGACACAGCACGTGATGCACCCCTGGCTGAATCAACCAAATGTCCACCACCACAGGGGCCCCTCTGGAAGCTAACTGGCACTATCTTTGCCAGAAAAGAATGAGCCGGCTACAAACGAACAAAGTGCCCACCAGCGTAAAAAAAAAAAAAAAAAAAACAGAGCCAAAGGAGAGCAGGAAGTTCCCCCATGCAACAATTGTAAGCCAAAAAAAGCAAAACTAACACTTTCCGAAAACACTCTCAGACCAAAGGGGCTACCATAAACTGAATGGACCAAATAAAAGAAAGAACCTAGTCAAGTGTTAGTGAAACAAGTGCAAGCTAGATTTCACAAATTTGTAATTGTTTGTTTACATTGTTGGGGGGAGTTCTTTTCACAGTTTTGAACCTGTGGTCTCATTTCTAACCAAGCAGTTATCTGTTTTGTGTCACTGACTTTCTGGGTGCCTTCCCTTGGTGTTTGGCAAACATGAATAAATTTACATAAAATTTTTCATACATGCCACTGCTCCCTCTGCCTCTCTGAGAGGGTCAGGTCCTTGGTAGGCCAAATAAAACTGTGTGACTGATGGCACCTTGTAGTGTGGCACTATGTCAGATATAGTAGCTTCAAGGAGCCACAAATCCACAAACTGCAACATGACCTAAATAAGATGTTGGTGATCCATACACAGAACAGCAGAGATGGAAAAGGATTTTGGATTATCTATAGTAAAAAATGCAACCCATAATCCTGTTTTGATGGTACCTCTTGTGACGATCGTCAATAGTCACAAATTCGTACGTACAGTACTTGCCTTTTAGATAGTAGTATACTGACTCGTAAAGAATTCTTTAACAAAAAAAAATGAAAACAAAAACAAACTTAAATATTCCTAGGCCAAGTATAGCACACATTTGTAGTATATTAGACGTAGGAAGGTTAGGTTAGGTTAGTTTAGTTTGTCTTTGCAACACAAGTAAAGAAATAGTTTTCCAGTTTGTCCAACTCAATAGTGCCGATTTCTACTTTCTAATTTCGTTGTACGTCGGTATATATACTATGGTCGTCATTATTACTGTAAGTACTACCAAAACTGAAGGATGGGCTGATAAAAACATGTTTAACCGCTGTGCTGCGCCAATTGAGAAAACTCAGTCAGCAGGAAACTGAGCCAACCAAGAAAAAACCTTTTGATTATTTCGTGCCCATTCAAAATGCGTGCGCAGTAGGTTGTGTACAAAATGAACTCTTGGGACCTCTAGTGAGAGTCAGCCATCTTGGAAAAAATTCCCAGAATGCCCTAGGGCTGCTGGCTGGGTTAGTACTGAGTGAGCAACCATGTGTGGCGCATGTGCCTCTAGCTCCCAAACACCTGTCTGACGCGGTGTTGAAAGATCGCTGTCAGTGAAATTCAGACCTTATTGTTTGAAGAACATAAGGGTCATGATATTGATCAAGCTAGGTGCAATAAGGACCTAACACAAAGGTCGGATGCTAGTGATACAGTACCTATGAGGACAATATAGTGAACGTATCCAGTTGTAGCTCTGAGCGCCACTCTTGCCGTCTCCAATTTTTATAGATGATACATAGATGAATTGTTTTCTGGGTTCAGTGATGATGCATCTGATACAGGTTGCATAGATGAACAGTGTTAGTGGCTTCCATGGTGGTGTTTTCCATATATTTTCAAGAATAGCTGAATCTCTTCCAGAATGGCTGACACTCTTCCTGAATGACTGAATCTCTTCCAGAATGACTGGTACTCTTCCTGACTGACTGAATCACTTTCAGCGAAGGATCCTACAAAGCGATCTTTTCATGACAACTTTACAAATAGAAATTTTCCTATAATCTTTTCAAAACTACTTTATGCTTCACAAGCTTGGCTACATACCACCTACAGGTACTTGCGCCAAGAGTGTATGTGAGTGCGTTATTTGCAAGCACACAGAACGTAGAACAGGAAGCGAAAATCTACCTGTACCTAGTGCAATGAGAGTGAAGTCACGCTGTGTACCATGGACTTCTTCATTGATTATTACTCACTTATGAAGTACTAAGTGTATAATACAGTGTATTACTGTGTAAATAGTATGCGAAACTGTACATATTATAATTTTAGTGAATTTTTAACAAGTAATATTGCGACAATAAACATTTATTATGGACACATTACTGACATCTGTATTACAGTTCCATGGAACATTATGAACGTTTTACTGTGTACACATTGTAAAGAACACAAATATGCAGCATATACAATAAAAAAACTAATAAAACTGCATTGGAAATACATAAAACAAATAATTGAAAATATATTTGTGGCAACTTGCAGTGCTTGAATAGCGCGCACGACCGCCTTTGAGAGCTTCACGCACAGGCGACCAGCCCATGATGCCCTCTTCTCCATGTCCCCACAGCCAAAATAGGTGGATTTTTTTTTTTTTTTTTTTACATGTATGTATTCAGGGAAGGGAATTTATTATTTTACAAAGATAAAAAAATTGCGAACACTTGATTTTATGCGCACAGGGGGAATGTCACAATAAACTTGGTACATCACAATGGTCAAACCATTGTAAAATGACTTTGTATCAAGTCTAATTCTGGCCAACCTTTGGGCGGCATTACTAACTCAATTAAAATAATTAAAATGGCTTATATGAATGGAAGAGAATGTTTAAAACAATTTGTTTCAAATTCAGAAATGCAAACCTAAAGATGTATTACTTCAAGATAAACATACTACATATAACAAAAGTAATTTAAACACATACTAATAGCATTAACATAACAAGAGAACCCTGGAAAATACCTTCAAGGACAGTAAGTGTGTTCTTGGCCTCTGTAAGTGTCTTCTCTGCCTTCTTGATAGCATCCCTTGCCTGACCTTCAGCTGTGAAGGTGTCTGCCAGGAGTTCAGCTGTAATTTGTTGTTGTGTCCAGCCACGATTCTTCAATTCTGAAGTTTCTTCAAGTTGAGCCTGCACTTCCACAAGCAAGTTGCTACGTTGTTCCAATAATTCTTGCGTTTCACTCTTAAGTCGTTCAGCCTCATGAGTGATGGCCGTTGCTTGATAAAAAAAGTGATATTAATGGGATAATTTTTTTAATAATAAAATTTGTCAATTATTATAAAGTGGTCATAATAAAACAAATTACACAGAACCCAAAAATGAAAAGGAAACAGCAATCACTTGCAAAATCTATTACTTATATTAATTTGACACAAATTAAACAACAAAAATAACCACTGTAATTTTTTACTTTGTTAAATAAACTTTAGTTTTATATCTCCCTCAGATTACAAAAATGTTATGAAATAGTTACAAGCAATAAGCACTGACTGAAATAAAATGTTATCTGGTGGGCCTCTCAGTAGCTTCAAGACAGTTACATGAAGCAATATGATCACTACGTACAAAATAGTAATGGGAATCAATTAAATTTATAGGGAAGAATTCCAGAAACCTGGAACTTCAAGAACACAAGGTCATAGATTTAAACTAATTAAACAAAGTTGCCGAACAAATATAAGAAAATTTACTTTCGTAAACAGAGTGGTAGACGGTTGGAACAAGTTATGTCAGAAGGTGGTGGAGGCTAAAACCATCAGTACTTTCAAAGTGTTATATGACAAAAAGTGCTGGGAAGACGGGACACCACGAGCGTAGCTCTCATCTTGTAACTACACTTAGGTAATTACTTAGGTATTGTTAAGTCTTGGAATACTAACCTGTCAGAAGCTAGTACAGTATACGTTTCCAACATTTTGCGATGTGAGAAGTGCTTAGGAATCAGAGATTTACCCATAATAAAAAATCCAGCACTGAATGTCTTGAAACGTCTCCTTTTATATGTTAGATTAAGGACCTATCCAAAATGCTATACCTGCTTGATACCTGGTTGATGGGGTTCCGGAAGTTTCTCTACTCCCCAAGCCCGGCCCCAGGCCAGGCTCGACTTGTGAAGTCGATACGTGTTAGTGGCTTTGCAAGGTTGTAAGAACAAAAATGTACTCTCACAACCCAATTACCTTCTTGCATATAAATAAATACTTTATTTCAGGCTTTTTTTTATTAGCTGTCCACTTCCAGTTGTCAGGTCGGAGAACTTCGCGTTCTTCTCTCAAAGCAGAAGTTTTGTTCCTTTTACCCTGACAGGCAGTTACTTCATCTGCAGCCACCTTCTTTTCTGGGGAAGAATGGAATGGTTGGCATTTGAGGGATCCTTTGTTTATTGATTCATGGTTCATTTGGGCATGGGTGCATCATTTGCTTTGCCAAGTTGCGGCTATTTGTTGTTACCGGCATGCCACCTAGACCGTTTCAGGGGTCTCATTATTTGTTAATCCTATCTTCTTGTCCCCTGTTCCAAGACCTGTTACCTCAGGTCACAAAGAGTGTCATTAAATCTAACCACCCTATAGTCTATCCTAGGGTTCAGGATGTTGGCAAGTTTGTGTCTCTTGATTACTATATTTAATAATATATCCTGGGCTGATATTAGGGCTTGGGTGTTTTTCTAAATCTAATAGGTTCCTGGTGGCTTGGTGCCTGGTCAGTGTTCTTGGTCTCCCTTGGAGTGTGTTGCTTTGTGTAGGATTTCCCATCCTAGTCTCTCCTCTTCAATAGTTTGATCTTTGATCTCCTCCTACCTGGTAAATCCCAGGTTACTCTTCTCTGTGGTTAACTAGTGGGAACTACTGTTGAGCCCCTCAAGAATACCAGTATTGAAGGAAATGAAACACCCCTTTCTGGGTGGGCCTCAGTGGCACATTTGTTCCTACCCTCCCTTCCAGTATTGTTTTATTTTTCTTAAGCTCCAAAGTGAGGATTGTTGACACGGGGAGCCGGCAGCTTCCATTGGTTCTGCCAACTTGAGGTGGCCAGCTGAAAATAGAGTGTTTGACCTAACTACTGGGTGGTTAGGTCAAACCATCTAACAAACCACCTGGATTGTTTGCAGAATCTTTTGCTGCTTTGATTCTTTCTCTCTGTGAACCTTGCAGTTGTCTTCTTTGCTTTGCTTGTGAGAAGAGCTGCCAAGCTTGTATGTTTCTTTAGTAAGAATGATCTTAAGTATCCACTGGTCCCTGTGCCTTTATGATGGAAGCCAGGTTCTGGCTCTGGTCTCAGGTAGACTATTAAGGAATCATAGGGCTGATGTGAGTCAAATGTGGATCTGTCTCAGTGCAGCTAGCTACAGGCACCCACAGAGGCTTTTATTTGCATGGAGTGTTTTCACAGGTTTAGTTTGACTCTAGGGATATCAAAGGGATATTTATTTCTGGTGTGGTGCTTATATGTTCTGTTACATCTATCAAGGAATAGTTTCAGATCAGGACTAGCATTTAAAAACAAGATTTTGTACATGTAAATAGCACAAGAGAATGTGCTGAGTAAGTGTATGTTTAGCATGTTTAGGAATTTAAGCAGAGGGATTGTGTGACACCCTAAGACAAGAAAGAGTTTGTTTATATATAAATAAATAAATATATATATATATATATATATATATATATATATATATATATATATATATATATATATATATATATATATATATATATATATATATATATATATATATGTATGTATGTATGTATGTCGTACCTAGTAGCCAGAATGCACTTCTCAGCCTACTATGCAAGACCCGATTTGCCTAATAAGCCAAGTTTTCACAAATTAATATATTTTCTCAAATTTTTTTCTTATGAAATGATAAAGCTACCCATTTCATTATGTATGAGGTTAATTTTTTTTTATTGGAGTTAAAATTAACGTAGACATTATGACCGAACCTAACCAACCCTACCTAACCTAACCTAACCTATCTTTATAGGTTAGGTTAGGTTAGGTTAGGTAGCCGAAAAAGTTAGGTTAGGTTAGGTAGTCGAAAAACAATTAATTCATGAAAACTTGGCTTATTAGGCAAATCGGGCCTTGCATAGTAGGCTGAGAAGTGCGTTCTGGCTACTAGGTACGACATACATACATACATACATACATACATACATACATACATACATACATACATACATACATACATATATATATACAGTGGTACCTCGGAATGCGATTGTCCCTGTATGCGAGATTTTCGGAAGGCGAGGTGTATTTACTCCAAAAATTTGTCTCGGAAGGCGATGGTTACTTCGGGAGTCGAGTTTGAACGCGAGTTTGTTGATACGCGTACAGCCGACCTAGCGCGTGGTCGTTCGGCGATCGTCGCCCCTCTGCCCCGCTGCCCCTCAGTTCACCATTGTCTCGCGCGCAGTGACTACCCCCACATCAATTCTTGTCGTGAATTTTCAGTGTTTTGTTGGATTTTTGGTGATTTGTCTATACAATTTGTTATTATATATCTCACCATGAGTCCCAAGAAAGCCAGTGGTAAGGATAAAGGCCAGAAAGCTCATGTGAGGATGACAATAGAGCAGAAACAAGAGATCATTCGAAAGCATGAGAACGGTACACGTGTTGTTGATCTTTGTAGGCAGTACAACAAAGCGACATCAACAATATGCACTATACTTAAGAAGAAAGATAAGATTATGAGTGCTAATGTGGCAAAAGGAGTAAGAACATTAACGACACAAAGACCACAAATACTTGAAGAAGTGGAAAAGTTGTTATTAATTTGGATACACGACAAGGAGTTGAGGGGTGATAGTGTTTCGGAGGCCATTATTTCTGAGAAAGCCAGGGTGTTGCACGAAGACCTTCTAAAGAAGACCCCTGCAACGAGTGATGCAGAAAAGAAAGAGTTTAAGGCAAGCAGGGGCTGGTTTGAAAAATTTAGAAAGAGAAGTGGTATCCATAGTGTTACAAGGCATGGGGAGGCAGCCAGCTCAGACAAACCAGCCGCTGGACGATTTATTGACGAATTTAAAGAGTTTGCAGAGGCTGAGGGATACCTACCGCAACAAGTGTTTAATTGTGACGAAACAGGACTGTTTTGGAAAAGAATGCCTAAGAGGACATACATTACCAAGGAGGAAAAATCCTTGCCTGGACACAAGCCTATGAAAGATAGGTTTACGCTTGTGCTGTGTTCAAATGCGAGTGGCGATTTAAAAATTAAACCCTTGCTAGTGTATCATTCTGAAAATCCAAGGGTTTTCAAACAGTATAATGTGCAGAAAACCCGTTTGTCTGTGATGTGGAAGTCTAATAAAAAAGCATGGGTGACTAGGCTTATTTTTTCGGAGTGGGTGAATGAAGTGCTGTGCCCTGCCATAGAAAAATATCTGCAGGAGAAACAATTGCCACTCAGAGCCGTGCTTCTCCTTGACAATGCTCCTGCTCATCCTCCAGGCTTGGAAGATGATTTGATGCCTCAATGCAATAAATTCCTCACAGTTAAATTCCTTCCTCCTAACACCACTCCTCTAATTCAGCCTATGGACCAGAAAATCATAGCGAATTTTAAGAAACTGTATGAAAGGGCACTTTTCCGGAAATGTTTTGAAGTGACTGAAGCCACAAACCTCACCCTCAAAGAGTTCTGGAGAGAGCATTTTAACATTTTTAGTGCTTTAAAACTCGTTGACAAAGCCTGGCAAGAAGTGACTCAAAGAACCCTGATCTCTGGCTGGAGAAAATTGTGGCCTGAAGGTGTGAGAGAACTAGACTTTGAGGGGTTTGAGCCTATAAATGATGCGCCTATTGTTGAGGAAATTGTTAGTCTAGGCCAGAAAATGGGCTTGGAATTGGATGGTGATGATGTGGAGGAGTTGGTGGAAGAACACAACGAAGAACTGACCACCGAAGAACTCCTAGCCCTTCAACAGGAACAGGAAGCCAACACAGCAGCGAATGATTCTGCAGTGGAGGAGGAGGTGGTGGCAACAGCACCAGCGAATGTCCCTTCTGCAGTAATGAAGAAGGTGTGTCAGATGTGGGAAGAGATTCAAACAACTATTGAACACACTCACCCAGACAAAACTGTAGTAGGCCGTTGTCTTAATCTTTTCAATGACACTGTGATGCCTTACTACAGAGAGAGCTTGCGAAGAAGGGAAAAGCAAGCTTTCATGGACAAATATTTGGTGAAGAAATCGAGCAGTGA